GCTATTTTTTTATACAATACTAATGCTATTATTATTTTGCATATATAATACTGTGATTATCTTGTTTTTGTTTGCTTTTTTTAACAACGTATTTTTGACTAGATGCCAGTATATATGAATCTATCCCACTTTTTAATGTTTATAGTATTCAATTGTGCATGTGAACCTTAATTTATTTAATCAACTCTAATTACTAGGCATTTGGATTGTTTCTAATTTTTTGATATGATGATCATCCTTGTACATATATCCTTTTAAATTTATGGGACTTGGATGTGGCTCGATAGTGTAGCGGTTAGCACGTTTGCTTTACACGTAGAAGGTCCTGGGTTCATTCCCCAGTGGAGCAACAGTCCATGGTCTATGGCCATGCCACCCTAAAGAAGCCCGATGTCTGATCTCGGAAGCTAGGCGGGGTTGAGCCTGGTTAGTACTTGGCTGGGAGACCACCTAGGAAGACCAGCTGCTGTAGGCATAAATAATAATAATAATGTATGGGACTCTTTCTAATGAAAATACTGTGAAATTACAGTGGTCCCCAACATTTTTGGCACCAGGAACCAGTGCTGCTATGAGAATCTAATGCCTAATGATCTGAGGTAGAGCTAAGGCAGTGATGCTGGCGCTGGGGAGCGGCTGCAAATACAGATGAAGCTTCGCTTGCTTGCCTGCTGCTCACTTCTTGCTGTGTGGCCCAGTTCCTAACTAGCCACTGACTGGTACCAGTCTGCAGCCAGGGGTGTGGGGGCCTCTGGGGTAAAAGAACTCCTCAATGTTTAAATTTTTGATGATTGCTAAATTAACATTCTAAAAACTTTGTGTCAGACTGTGTACTAACAGTGTAAGATTATTTCATCACACTGTAGCTAGCATTGGATTTTAATTAAGTTTTAACTATAAATATATTTTTGGTATTTTTAATGAAAATGGGATATTATATACACCATTTTATAATCTACTTTTGCACATAATAGTTTATCATGGATTTTTCTTACGACAATAAATACAGATTTATGTGATTTTCAAGGGCTACACAATGTACTATTAAATATTTTTAAAAATTAATAGCTTCAGTCTTTAATAAGCGAATCACAGGCCTACATTTTCAATTTTACTAATTCCTTCACACGGTATATATTTAAATGAAACCCTTCTCTTTCTTACAGAGACATTAATCACAGACTCAAAGATAAGATGTTTAGGCAGAAATTGGTATATATTTAACTGGATTTCTACTGTAAAAGAAGGTAAGTCTCTTCTTTATTCTGAAGTTAGTCTTTTACCATTGTTTTGGGGATTCCTCAAGACCATCCTCAGGTTTAATGATAAGTTAGAAGGACTTACAGAACTCTGAAAAGCTGCTATATTCATGGTTATTAAATTCAGAGAGACCAAAAACAAGCTTCCAGTTGTTTCTCCCTCTGGAGTAATACAGATAGGACAGCACTTAGATTTCCTAGCAATGATAAATGACAATACAAAGTATCGCCAACCAGGGAAGTTAACCCACACCCAGGCACAGAGGCAGAGACGGAGTGATCCTGTCCATGGCAGATGACAGAGAATGCTTGCTATTTAAATGAGCTGACTTATGAAATGGACTTGAGGTAATTCATCGTAAAAGGAAAAAAAGTTAGTGAAGAGTCTTTATTATCTGGTCTTCAAATAACTTCCTTAGTATCTTTCCTTTTGCATTTGCTGTTCCTTTAGACTGGAATACCTTTCTTTCTTCCCGTGCTCTGTACCCCTATCTTCCCACAAACTTTATGGTACTTCCTGTTTCAGAACAATGTCATTCAAGACAAAGGAACAGTTACACATAGGCAAGAAGACAGAGATTATATATGTTGATGCTTTGTTATCTTCACAACCATTTCCTGATACACTTTCTTTACTTCTAAGAAATCAAGGTATTCTGGTTTTCTTCCTATTTTTCTGGCTATTTTTTCTCAGTCTATTTTGCTGATTCCTCCTCTTTGAGCTTTGTTATAAAGTTCAAGGGCATAACCAAACCAATCCCCAAATCCTATCTTTAGGATTCTATCTCCTGGGACCACTCCTAATATCAATTCTATAGCAGTCTGGGACCAATCAGAGATAGAAATCACATGGTAGATTAAACAGGAGATATTTAATATAAGAATAAATTATAATAAAAGAATAACTATAAAATACAAAGAAATTCTATATAGCACCCTAGGGCTAAGGGGGAGTATCCAAAGAAGAATAAACTTGGAAGGGGTTCAGATCTCAAGGTCAAAAGGCCTTCAAAGAGCATGAGCTATACAAGGTAGCTTGCAGAGGGAGCAGCAGCTATATGTGGATTTCCTGGGCCATAGACCGTCTGTACACAGGGCTTGAAGAAAGATACAAGTGCCTGCTGTGTGAACCTCTGGACCGCAGGCAGCTGTGTGCAGGCCAGGCAGGAATTTGAGTTTCCCGGCCTAGTAAGCTATAGACAGGTTATGGCCAGGCCAACGCTGCAAGGTCCCGGAGGGATCACTTTCCAGGCCCCGGATAGGTTCTATCAGATTTTCTCATACCCACAATGCTGTCTTTTCCCCATTCAACCCCCTTCCACTCCCTCCACTATACTGGAAATTGCAGAAAACCTCTTCCTCTTGCAAATTCCCTTCAGCAACCTCTACTGAGAAAGATTAACATAGTGGGCAGTTCAAAAGGGAGATGCTTAAAGGAATTCTATTGTTTATCAGAAAGCATATATTGAAGGGGTATTTGGAGCCAAAAGGCAATAAGTTGATAACTGACATATCATCTCAAACTTCACAAGCTCCAGCCACACTTGTCTGAACAATCAGGCATTGCCCCACCTTAGGTCCTTTGCATTATCTTTTGCTTCTGCCGTGAGTGCTCTTTCCCCTGTAGCCCCTCCTTTAAATCTTGGCTCAAATGTCTCTCTCCAAGTATTTTAGTATTGTAGCATTCCTCACTCCTGATCCCTCTTGCATTTTTTTAATACAGCTTATAATCTACTATATGAGATAATTATCATATGTATTATGTGCGAAGAAGTTTTATTTTTTTCGTTTGTTTGTTTGTTTGTTTGTTTGTTTGTGTTACAGCTCTGGGCAGTGAGCAGTAGTTTGAATTGTGATATGAGAGATGTCTATTTCTCCCTGCCAGTCTGTAGTCTCCAGGAGGGCAAAGATCTTTGTTTATCAATATATCCCAAGAATGTAGAATAGTAGGCATTCAAATATTTGTTGAGTGACTAAGTTAATTACTGAAACAAATATAAAATATAAAGGGTACAATGTAAAATCAATGAGGTAAAATATGTACCCACAAATGAATCTCTTGGATTTTTCTTCTAGGTAAAGCCAAAGATTCATATCAAGATTCAACTCAAAAGTCATTCATTCCCTCTATGATCTAGACACTGGTTGCTATAGCAAGATTGAGCAAGGAACAAGTTTTCCTCCTTTGACAGGTTACCAGTAGAGATATTTGATTTCTGATGTGGTAGACTGCTTGCACCAGTGGACTTTTGAAGACTTTGGAAATGGCTGGAAAACAGCATTAAGTTAGCTGAATAGTCATTTACAGGATACTATGACAAGCAGCTGGAGCCCTTGGAGAAGAACAATTGAACTATAGAGCAGAGGTCTTTAGAATGGGGTAGGCATAACCCCTGGGCATCCTGGAAGACAAGTGAACTTGCAGTTTTAAGGAAATGGATTTCTAAATTTCAACTTCCATTTTACTCTTCTCTGAAATTGGTCAGCTTGCAAACAAGCCTGACTACACAACAGTCCTTCCATTTTACAAAAGAAAAATATAAACATCTCTCATATCACAATTCAAACTACTGCTCACTGCCCAGAGCTGTAAAAAAAAAAAACCAAACAAACAAACAAAAAAAACTGAAAAAAAATAAAATCTTCTTTGCACTAAAAGAGAAGGCTATATCAAAATATTGGATTCAGGGAAACTTTTTAAAAAAGGAATCATGGCATTTTTGTCCACTGAGAGATGAATGGATAAATAAAAGGTAGTATATACAGAGAATGGAATTATACAGCTTTAAAAGGACAGTTGACACATTACAACATGGATAAATCTTGAGAACATTATCTTAAGAATTAAGTGAAATAAGCCTGTCACAAAAGGACAAAGACTGTATGATTCCATTTCCATGAGGTACCTAGAGTAGTCAAATATATAGAGACAGAAGTAGAAGGGTAGTTGCCAGAGGCTGGAGAGAGAGGGGAATGAGGGTTACTGTATAATGGGTACAGAGTTTCAGTTTTCCAAGATGAAGAGTTCTAGAGGTAGATGGTGATGATGGCTGCACAATGTTAATGTATTTAATATCACCTTATTGTACACTTAAAAATGGTTAGGCTTGTTAAAAAAATAAATAAAAGTAAAGCATTCTAAATCCAAGGGCTTCCTCTCTCATATGTATTTCTATAAAGGGCTTGGCTTTAGAAATAGATATTCGAAAGCCTGTATTGAGATACTCTGGAATCTCAACCGCAGAAGTAGCATGGATTATTTAAAATGTATCATTTTTGATGGGCTTTTGAGAACTAGTGGATAAAACTAAGGAATAAGAACTTCACACAATTTTTAACATTTGCTTTCAAAATGTCAAATAAAATGAAACATTTATTCCAATTACAGTCAATCTTCACCTCTTTTCGTCTTGTAAAAGACCATTTTCTATTTCCTTTTAGTTAAAAAATTATATATATACATACACACACCCTTATTTAAACTCACCTGAACAAGTGTCTATTAACTTCAACAGGCAACAAACCCTGTAGTTTTTCCAAAATTCTTTTAGCAGGATGACAAATTCTGGTTTTCAAAGCTCCAGAGGCTATTTCCTGCTTTCCTCGGGTTTGGTTTTGAGTGTTTCCGAAGCCGTGGGCTTGGATGGCTGCGAGGAGGAGAACAGTAGGACCGTGGGCGGTCCGCCCCGTCGCGGCGGTGGTGTGGCTCCACGTGACCCCGCCCCCCAGCTTGGGGACACCTTCCGTGCGTGCTTCTCCGCCGCATTCGCTCCCTTCCCGCCAGTTTTAAGTTTCATTTCCAGCTGCGACTGCTGCTTCCTCTTCTCCCAGCTTTTCCCCGAAGTGAAACCAGCTTTCGAATAGCAGAGTGCCAGCCATGGATCCCCAGCGCGGAAAAGCGACGCGGACAGCTCCGAAGGCTAGAGCCTGCGCATCCAAGGCCTCGGCGCCGAGTGCGAAGGGCGCCGCGAGGAAGCCCAACGAGTCTCCGGTTGTTCCCGCAGCTGCCCGGCCCAACGCGCAGAGGCGCGGATCCACCAGGTCGTCGAGATCCCAGCAGAAAGAGAGCGCCCCTGGTCCCCAGGAGAGGCCGCCCGCGCGCGCGCGGTGTGCGGGCGCCAAGAAGGCGCCTCTGAGCGCTGAGGACGCGGTGGACGGGCAGGAGGGTCTGGCGGAGGGGCCGCTGCCTCCTGCGGCCATGCGGCCGCCGCTTTCCAGGGATGGATCTCGCCGCACGGAGGGCGCGCGGTCCGCTCCGGGGCGGAGACCCTGTCCCGCGCCCGCGGTACTCCACGGCCCCGACCCGCTGGTCGCAGCACGTATTCTCGGCGGGAAGGAGGCGCCGCCCGGCACCTGGAAGCTCCAGGCCGTGCTGGAGAAGTTGAGGCTGAGACGCCAGGAAATCTCAGCGGCTGCGGAGGTTGTAAACAGGGTCGTGAACCACTTGCTACGAAGAGTGCAGAGCTTCGAGTCCGAGTTTAAAGATGTCACGCTGCTGCGCGCCGGGAGTTACTACGAGCAAGTGAAGGTGAGCTTCCCAGCGCCTGCCCTCCTGTTCCCGCGACGCGCGGGCCCAGCTTCCTCACCCCTTTCCCAGCCTTCCCGGTATTACCCACCTCCTACGGTCGCTTACTTCCCTTCAGAAGTAACTCAAATTCCTGCTCTTTAGTTCTAATTAAAATGTTGAACAGTTGTTCATTCATTTATCCATCTCTGCATCCAGGGAACATACAATCAAGCCATACTGATTGCCAGCCACTGTCAAGACACTGCTGTTGGGGGTTGGGGAATTCAAATGTGTAGATTCCTCCATGCAAGCAGACCTGTACTGTGTTTCTGTAACAGTGCTATATTTGGTGGTTTCTGGTCAAATTATGGCTTGGATGATTAGGACTGATCTGCGAAAAAATCCACAAAATTAATATATCTAAGAAACTTTTTCCTATGAGGACATCTGTACTCAGGAAAAATATCTTCAGTCTCTCCCTCTACCCCCACCCCTCTCTCTTTCCCCAGTTTCTAATACAAATGTTATGGGAAGCTCACAGTGAGTGATGTTAAAAAAATGTTTTTAAAGAGAAACTCTCCGAAAGATACTAAAAAGCATACTTCCTACTTGCATACCAGTTGAAACTTTTTAAGTACGTATTCCATAACTCCATTTGTTTGCCATTAAAGTCATCATTCCAGTATAAATTCAAGGTTTAGGAGCAGGTTCCTGACTGGATTTTGTTTCTAGACCAGTGACAGATTTCTCTGGTTGTGCTTTTTGTCTAGGCTGTCAGTTTTCTGGGCACCTCCATTAGCTCTGTGTAAGATCTTGGGTGTAGTAGCACCAACAGAAATAAAGGCCGAACAGAATAGAGGCTGAGATCTTTATTAAGTAGTCATAATTTATTTTAGAGTTACATATTGGCTTTATTCAATTAACTGCTTTCCTCCAGAAGGTAGGTAATGGTAAAACTCTAGTTTTAGGGTTTTAGAATTATAAACTATCAAGTGAGCAGGCCAGTTATTATGCATCTTTGTATTTCTAAGCATTCAAATGAATGAATGCATGGGCTCAAGATGAATAGATGGGTGATCTCTCACAAGATCCTTGCCTTCTTAGGGTAGCAAATTCAGATTTAATTTCTATTTTAAGCATTTAGCCTGGTAGCCTTCAGTGGAGATTATCCTTTCGTATATTTTTGTCTTAGCCTTCCACCGATATTGTAAGCTTCATTGTTGTAGCATGTTTTACACAACTTTGCACCCTGTACAGCTTCTTATTTCATTGGTATGGACTTAGTGATATTTATTATCTTTGGCAGTGTTTGTATTGGTCTCTGGATCTTAAACTCTTAGCACCGAAGACCACTCATATAATTCCACCTAAAGTCTCTTGAAGCCTAAGTGAGCAACACTTTCATCATACTGTCTTGAGCATGATTTTTATTACATAAATATTTGTCAGTTCAATTATATAGAAGACCCAAGGGAAAAAGAAACTTACTAGTTAAAACTAGAGAACAATAAGACATTTAGAAAAGTCTCCAATCAGAACCACTCTCCTTTTTAAAATCACGCAGATGGAAAGAAATTCAATGAAATTTATTTCAACTAATTATAAAAGGTATACCTGTTTATTTTAGAGTTGACCCACTGTCTGCCCTTCAGCAGGTTCCCACAGTACAGTAGCACCCCCTTCCATCTTACCTCCTTCCTCACCCTCTCCCATATTCACCTCTATTCCATTGGAATGTCCCTGGAAAATTCAGAAAAACACATAGAAGACAATATTCTTCCTGTTTATTTTTTTCACTATTATTTTTTCTGTTATGCATATACTTGAATTGCAAGATTGGATTCCAAGCTCTTTATAACTGGTTGTCGGAAGCCAGCCGACGAAGTAATTGAGGGTACCTGAAAGGGGGAGCATGGACTGAGGAAAAGAAAGAAGACAGACAGAATTGCAGGAGGGAGCACAGATTCAAGCTGTGTCTGTGTCCCCGAGTTTATTTAGAACACACTATTTATAACATTACAATAAGAAAGACAGTAGTCAAGAACCAAAGTTAGCCAGATTACTATATCTAGTAGAACAATGAGATTCTCACAACTCAGAACTCTCTGCTAAACTGTTGCAAGGAATGTGCAGTGACTGCTATGTGAACAGTTACCTCCCAGTTTTTCCCAGCGCTTTACAATCTCAACTTCTTACATTGTTGCCAAGTACACAAATATCCTTGTTCCTTGTTATACGATTTCACATGTCCATAAGTGACTCCCCACATCTCCCCCTTTTTTATTTTTTAAATGCCCGAACCCTCCTGGTTCTGGCGCAAGGTGACTGTGCCTGTCTTAGGTGATCCCCTCACCAGATCTGAAACTTACCCGTCATCGGTACGTGCATTCTGTCATGCACGCCCTGTCTTAGGTTGTCCAGTCTCTGAGGGAGTCTTACCCGTCTTTGACTACCAGCCCCCGCGGGAGGGAGATATCTATCTTTTAAGCCGTATTTCGAAGTCTTACATGATGTAGGTTGGCCTGAAGTTTTAACATGGCACTAATGAAGTATTTCAGTAGAGAAGGAAGCAGGCACAAAACAACAATTACACAGGCTCCTATAGTCAAAACAGAAGCAGCTAGCTGATAGAAGGAAGACCATGAGGGGACAAGGCCCTTAAGGTGATCCAAAAATTCAGTGGCCAATTTATCAGCGTCAAATTGTAGAGGTTTAGCATTTTTAAGTCCTTGTATTTCTTTATGCAGGTTAATTAAATCTAAGGATACATTAGCATTGTGCCATATGCCTTTTAAATGATATTTTACTCAATCCCAGTCATAACTAGTCTCATTATATCTTCTAGATGTGACACAGATCCAATGATACGCCACATGACATTCTAGTTGAGATCTAATTTTTAGACCCTGGATTTCATCACCCAGGTATTCCACTGTCTTATACAGAGCATCTAACTTTTGTTCTAATTTTCTATCTATATTTTCCTGTGTTCCCAATGCTAAAGTAACATTTCTAGACAAATCATTGACATAATGAGCAGTTTGTACAGTTTGTGAGAGAGCCACCACAGTGGTGGCAGCAGTAGCTATAAGAGATACAATAGCAAGTATTCCTGCAACGATTAGTCCAATCACCCTCCTCATAGATGGCATGTCCAGCAGCGATGTGTTGTTCCCTTTCACAATGACATCTGGTCCTTGCCACATTGTTGGATGTAAGAGAGGTGGGTCAGGACA